TGACGAAGTATTTTCACTAACTACTGCTGGATTTCATGGAATATCTTGTTAACACCCCCTTAACACAATCATCTTTTGGGAGGAATGATGAAATGACGAAGTATTTTCACTAACTACTGCTGGATTTCATGGAATATCTTGTTAACACCCCCTTAACACAATCATCTTTTGGGAGGAATGGTGAAATGACAACTTCTTTGTGTTCTAACCTTTTAAAATAAGTGTGCTTGTAATCTTGTTTAAACCACGAGAAAGAGCTTTGAATTGTAAAGTAGTCATCTTGATTTTTTTAGTTCAATTTATCATTACACTATACCGCACTGTAAAAGTTGTATTCAAATGAGATACCTAACACTAGCAAATTTAAGAGTTTCTAATGCCGAAAGAAATAAAATAAAAAGTTAACCCTTGATAAAATACCAACTGAGTTTACTACAGTGCATGTTTAATAGATGTGAGAAACATATTGTTTATTACAGCTGTTTCTTTTGGCCGCTCAGTCTTCAGAGCTTTTAACATAGACATAACTTATATAAACATTTGTTGTGCGAAATGTAATATCTGCTAGAGTGAAAAAAAAGAATTGTCCGTCTTTTCTTCATGTAAGATGCCTTTGTTTCTTTTTTAGAGCAAAGCCACATTGGTCTGTCTGCTGTGTCCGCCGCGGGTAATCGAACCCCGGATTTTAATATTGTAAGTCCGTAGGCTTACCGCTGTCCCACCGAATGACTTTAAATCATTGAATAAGAGTTTGTTTTGTTTGTAATTAAGCACAAGGCTACTCAATGAGCTATCTGTACTCTGCTCACCACAGATATCGAAACCCGGATTCTAGCGTTGTAAGTCCGCAGATTGAATAAGAGAGAAATATAATTCATTATTTTTAGTAATGTGATTTAGAATATCTGTAACGTATTGAAATTGTTATAATAATCCGTTATCAAACTGTTTGGAATAGTCACATTCATATTTTAACGGTGATGTTACAGCCTTTATTTTCAACAACTTGTAAAAAAAAAAAAAGCGTTAATTAGTAAAAACATCTATAAAACGGCGCCCTCTTTCATACAAAAAGTAAATTACGGGTTTAGTACTGAATTTTGGAGCTATATCAGCTCTGATCAGCCGAGCTAGAGAATCCATGATTTGCGTCCCATTGCTGCAAAATTTCGCTCCACATTTCGGAGTCGTGGATCATAATAGGTGTTACAATTAAATTCCACTGTTCGATTAGAGTAGCCCAAAAGTTGGTGGTGAATACTGTTGACCAGCTGCTTTCTCTCTGGTCTATCGGCTAAAAACTAGGGACGTTTAGCGCAGTATAGCCCTTGTGTAGTTCTGCGCGAATGCCCCAAACAAACAACAACAACAAACAGCCGAGCTAGATCAAAAAAGACAATATTATCCAAATTAGCGTTATATATTTTTTTAATTGTAAAAGCAATTTGCCAATGTATTTATTGAATACTTATTTCTTACTTTTAACTTTATGAAAAATATTAAAAAGTAAATAAAATACTGAAAATATAAAAGTGTTGAAAACCAATGGCTGGTATACCGATCCGTCTATGCGTGGGCAAAGTATTACCTTCATGCTTACGTATTTAGCAAGTCCCTCTGGTGGCTATATTATGTACTAGATGCTTATATTTATCGTATGTATTACAATAAACTGAAAATGTTTTGTGACAATCACTGCTGGGCTTTAAAAAATACATCTAATTTTTGTAACTAAATATACATGAACGACCATATGGTGTAGTAGAAGCTTTAGCGTAATTTCCTATCTATCTATTAAAATTCCAAACAAAAAACTAGCTGTGTATATACAGAACAAGTAACTTATTTACACAGATACAAAGTAGGATAAGGGCAGTAACAGTACAGAAATATACTCAAGACACGCATGTTGTGATTAAAATAATTAAAAATGTGCTCGAAAATTTATTTAATACATTTTTTGAATGTACAAAGTTTTACTAACATTATCAAATAACGTCATACGCGTAAGTCAAGTTAACCGTATGGAAGTTTAGCGCATGCGTGTTAGGTAGGGTCCATGTTTTTTTTTTTCTGATTGTTTGTAAAACTGCCTATATATTCCAACTGCACATGAAGTAAGTTGTGTGGTATACTACATTATTAGAAAGGAGAAGGTAAATGTTAGTTATCCGTTTATAACCACATGGACACAGTTAACTTACGTTAGTCATTTAAGCTGTATACAGATCGATGTGACCATTATGAAAAGTTTGGAAGTACAACAGAAGTTATACTTTTCTCCCCCTGTGTTACGTATTTATGAGCCTGTTTTATAACAGCTGTAATTGTTACTTGACTTGATAATCATTGTCATTTTATTTCTCCTCAGTGGCCCCCCCCCCCCAGTGACAAAACGATATGTCTGCGGATTTACAACGCTAGAATCCGGGTTTCGATACCCGTGGTGGGCAGAGCACAGATAGCCCATTGTGTAGCTTTGTGCTTAGTTGCAAACAAACAAATTCTCCTCAGTGCCACTAAATTTTATAGGTCGGTGTATTCGTGTTATTTACTTGTTAAGTTGTTCTGGATCTATGTAAGTTTTCATTACTCCAAGATGTGATGTTCTTATATTACGCTCACTTCACTTCAAATGTTAGATTTTTTGTCACCGTTACACTATCTTTAAACAACGATCGTGTATGTTTATAATATACTAGTATAAAAGCCTGTCAAATATAACGGGAAACCACTGTTGAATGATTAACGAAAATTATACAATTTGACTAAAACAAATTTGTCTGTACCTCCAAAATGCATCTATTCTTCACTTATTTCTCGAAGTAATTCTTTAATCACCTCATTTTCAGTAAAATCTATACAGAAAAATGAAATGTTATCATGAACAAAAGTACGAGAGCACTCTGAAAGAGACTTAAATAGCACTCTTGAACCTTTTCACTGTATTCTGGGTCAGGAAGTTAAACTTCCAAACGGATGTTTATTAATCAACATTTATTCACGATTTTAAACTTTTTAAACTCCGACTTTAAAACGTTTGTTACGTATTATAATTTCAAATGGTCTGAGATTGAGTTAACTGATAATTTAAATTTAGAAGTTAAATTGTACTTTGGATTTAGTATTTAAGTATATGCCGATATATAGTCAGTTTATAACATTTGCCAAGAAGATTGATCTACACAGTTTTCTTTTTAAACACAAATACGTTTTAATATACACACAACAATACAATTTACAATAACAGTTATTACAAATAACGATTTATAAACAAAAGTTTAACAATGCTACAAGCAATATTAAGTTTTCTTTTTAATCTGGAACTTCTTCGATATCTTATCAGGGTTCACGATGAGCGAGTTAGTACGATTCGCTTAATGGGAAGCTAGCTAGGTTTGTCTTTCGTTATTCACTAGCCACACACGCTGAGTCTTCCACGATGAGTTTATATTATGTTTCCCTAAAAATACTAATGTTCGATGAGAATCCACTGACTGTCAACGATTTGTAGTGTTCGAACTTTGTAAATGTTCCTGGTCAAATATCTGAAGTTTTTCGATTGGTAAGCTTTATAACAATTACAGTTATAGCTTTCGAAGTTTATAGCACACTGACTATAGCGAACTAGTAATATATATTCTTTTTGGCGCGTCGCGTTGGTTATATTTATAGGCGTGTGAAGGTTTTCTAGAAAATTCAGATTACGTAACAATACAAATTTCATCGTTTACGTACACAAATATATTGTTGATTCTTACTCTCAAGAATCTTCTACAACTTTGGAGAATAGGCGGGAGTTTTACATTATATATTTAACAGTATAAGCTATGTATGTATCTAAATATAAACTTAATCTAAACAAACGTTGATATTAAAATAAATATATAATAACAAATTCGTTACACGTTATTAATAGTAAGCCTATTTGTAGTCTAATTTAATACATATACGTAAATTAAAGCTTAGCTGAAACACAACTGGGTAAATTTTATTTTGCTCTTGGCTACAAACCAAAGTCATAAAACTTGTGAATTAAACCGTTTTACTGTTATATCACCGAAGTTATAAAAACATAAAGAATATAAACACAAACCTTTCTAACAAATCAATATGAATATTGAGCATTCAACATAAACAACACAGTTGGCCTAAGAACAATCAGGTGATAGTTTTGTTGCTAAGTGACGATATATGTCGTTGAGCATTACCAAAAAGGAGCGTGAAAGCGTTCTCGACAGAATGACAAAAGGAATAAGCCTTTTATAGTTAGTGATAAAGTCGTTGTGTAATTAGGCTATTATTTTATTTTTGCTACCATATCCCTAATATGTTAGCCAGACTTTGGAATATTCTTGGTTAATAAAAACGTTACAAAGTTGCCATTATAGATTGCTAATATGTATTTTCATATGGCAGTGCTATCACATTTTTTTTGAACGTGACATCATTATCACGTGGTTTTTATTGTACAACTTTGTCATTGTTTTTATTTTTTCATGTGCCATTATTGTCAATTGTTTGCGTTTGCAATATGACATATTTGTAACATTTTCATGTTTTTATATCCTGGAGATAGCTCCATGCTCTTTTTTTAACCAATCATTAATTGCATAATTGTATAAATATAATGCTTTGTTATCTGATACAAGAAGCAGCTGTGAACTTCAGCCATCATAATTATTCTTTCTTCGCAACTAATTCAGCGTAATATATATATATATATATATTTCATTTTTTCTTATTTCTATTACAGATGAACCAATGATAAATGCACCTGTTAATATATACACATCACAAGAAATCCCTGATCAAAGCAAAATTACTTCCATGACATCTTCAGAGGAAGAGCCCGTCTCCAAACCGATCACACTGGATGCATCGACGCTCAAGAAGGGGTTGCTATGGCAACAGAGAGACAAGTTCTTCAGTCGGTGGAAAGAACGTTATTTTGTACTCACTCGCGATTATCTAGCGTGCTTTAAAAAAGGAGCGAAGGTTGGAATGTCAGAAATGGGCAGCTTTTTGTACAAGGTAATTAACGTTATAATGTTGTATAGAAATATTTTTACTTGAAGTTGTTTGATTTTCATTTTCTTTGTAACATATGTCATTATATTCTACTATATATTTTTTAACTCGTTTGAATTGTTTTCATTAAACAATTCTTTCTTTCAATCACTGATAGATTAATTTAGTGGACATAGAAGGACTACAGTGGGCTGACAAGAAGCGCGAAGGTGTGATTGCCGTGCGCCTTGGTCAAGAAGGTCAGTTGCTGCTTTGGTCACCAACAACACTCGATGATTGGATGTTTGCTCTACAGGAAGCTATTGGCTCTAGCAAGGGACGGCGGGAAGTTCTCAGAAAATCTCAGAGTTTGACGCCTCAGATAACTGATAGAAAGCTTACTCGCAGGTAAATAAACTGGATCAAGTTTGGAATAATTAGAAGTTCTGTGTTTTTTGTTATTGTAGCTCTTTTAACGTATGATATGGGAGATCGAATGGTTTATACAAACAATATTTGATGTAGTAAAGTGTTCGTCCTCAAAGTTGTCATCCTACACGCAGAAATGATAGTACTGTTCCTGTCCTTAGAGATAGTAATAAAAGTGACCGTTATCCGTAAAGATACAATAAGGAGAGTGCCCGTCCTAGACAAAACTGTCATCCCTTACACAGAGATCAGAAACGAAGTGCTCATCTTGCGCATGAAGATCACAGAGGTCATATATAAAGTGCTTTCTTACAAGGAGAGACTATATTTAACCCGATGATTACCGGTACTAACTTTCTTAGTAAGCAATGCAAGTGTGCGTTTGTGAATTGAAAAAATGATAGAGAACTTATCTTTTAATGGATTTCTGATTTTATTTTTATAAATAGTAGCATAACATTCAATTATTTGTACAAAATTGTATTCTTTAATGAAGTTTAAAGAGGAATTTAATGAAAAAATTCCTAAAATACGTTTTATACTCTAAATAAGCGCCCTCTAGGAATAAATGTTTTTTTAACATTTTTTTAAAGATATTTCCTTTCACCTCAGCTCTGGTTCTGCCATCTATGATTGGTATCTAAACCT